TTTTCGTTTCCCTCGATTTTCGATCACTTAATTGATCCACTCTTGCTTTTGAGGCTTTCTAAAACGGCTATATAAATACTCCATTACGTTTCTTTGCATGCCATTGTAGAGGAGTTCGTATCCATTTTTGTTGTCACGCAACTCACATTGTTTTAAACACGCAACAACTACCCGTCGTCTCTCCTTAGGAGATGGGTCCGCTCACGACGTCACTTTGAGGGTCCGACATTGTGATGGCTAATTGGCTGAACCTGATCTTCAGGTAGTTTCCTTCGTAGAGCCAGCCTTCTTACCCCTCGTCGCTCATAATATGTGGCTCTAGCTGACCTTTAATTCCGTCGGGTCAGTGCGCGTCGCTTCCGCAGCATCCCTAGCTTTCACTCGTTTTTCTTTATTAGACATTGAACTTATAAGATGCAACGGCTGTCTCTCAGTTGGGTTTTCATTTGCGTTGGAATGCGAGACAAGAGTCAGGTTTCAGTGAGGAAACGAACCCACGACCTCATTGAGGTGAGACCCGAAGAGATGGCACCAAGCCCTGGGCTAACTAGAAAGAATAAGAAGACTATAAGTTTACCATCTCTCGTATGCTTTGACAGTTTTCCCAAGTACGATGTGTTCGTGAGCTATTTGGTTTCCAGAGCTGTTGGGATTTTCAACCCAAATTGAGCGTGTTGTTGCAATAAGTGTTGTTTAATCTCCATATCCTTAGATTCTTCACTTACGCATAGTTTTCCCAAAAATGAGCGTAAGTGTTTTTTAATCTCCATATTCTTATATTCTTCACTTATGCATAGTTTTATTGATTTATCTTTTTTCTGTAAGTTTATGTGAAATTTTGACCAGCACGCTTCTTTTTTCAAAAATTATCACCTTGAAGTACTATGCACGCGCACGTATCTAAGTTCTAACAATCAAATTTTACATAGTTACAAACTCAAAAGAGGAGAAGCATTAGTACCAGTAAACTCAACAATTCATTGATTTTCCATCTTATTGTGGAAAAAGAAAACACTTAAATAAAAGAAATGACCAATAATTTCAAGATTCACTTTAATCCGCTGCGCATGGCACGCGAATAGAAAAGAAAATTCAAATAAGAAGAAAATTCAGAAAAATTTCATTTTTTCTACAGAGATGACTCAGAGCAAAGAGGAGGTGATAGCTTGGACTTCCGCGATCATTATAAAGCCTATAACTTCTCTTTACTACTAACTCTTGTGATAAGGAATGAAACTGCGGTACTACAATTGCTCTCAGAAATATAAAAGAACCACTTTCGGGATCTTATGTTAGCAGGAAACTTACCTTATGGAGCTGCTTGACACAATTTCATTTACATCGCCTTAAGCGGAAATTGATCGAAAGGGGAAAGCCTAATTTGGATAGAAGAAATTGGCAGCATATTCTCGCTTTCTTTCAAGCATGTGTTGAAACAAGTTCGAGTGCAGGAAGTTTCTAAGCGCAACTTATCCGCGAGCGTTTCTTTAGCAATAGTGCAGTTGAGTGGCTGGTAGGCTGGTAATGATAATCATTTGATGTGCATGCTTCATTGTTAACAAACCATCAGGTACTACTCTTCTCGTAAGATGTAGCACCCGCATCGCTGTCACTAGTTGTTGCGGCTATCGACTGCTAATCGTAGCGACTGAAAGTGCCGAGATCACCCACCCACTGTCAATACCTAAGAAAAATGGGCATTTTCAGCGACGACGATCAGGGGTGCTATACTTTTCAGGTAGAGTAGCATCAATCCTACATGAAGGAACGCACGGAACGTTCTTGTAGTGGACCTACACTGAATCAAAGAAACGCTCACATTTTTCTGGAGTCTCATTTGGGCCAACTCATGTGCTGTTGTCTTACAGGTTTATTATAATAGACATATTCAGATATGCTTGGATTCTCAGAAAACACATCTTCTTATACAGTTAAGCCGTTTAACCAGCAGGACCTGTCAAGGGTACGGATGTTCCTAGTTATGCATATACATAATACATGCATTATGCATAATACTAAATCTTTTTTTCTTGTTAGGTGGTTATATTTAGAAGGTAACCTGGCAGTGGAATGCAAAGAGTAGGACCCACGAATTTGTTTTGAATGTAATTGGCTTAGAAGACCTTGTTGAACGTCGCAGCAATGAGTCAACTGGAACTCATGCGCCCGACTTTTTTTGTCGGTTGTGCGCATTGGTGATTCCGCGGAGGTCTGCTGCTCTTGAAGCTCATGTCCGCTCCGCTCAGCATATCTTATGTTATGTGGTATGTCATCTTTGCTTATAACTTGGCGCTTCCAGATGTCGATATTCAGAATCCATTTTGACTAGTTGTTGTCATTGATTTCAGCACAAATATCATCCACTTACAATTATGGAACTCGACTCGTTGCCTAAGGAAGGAGGAAAGGAGATGAGGAAAATTCTTTCTCAGTTGTTGAAGGATCACCAGTTGAAAGAACAGTACTGTATTCCTATCTATGATCCCATTGGCGAACAGGAACGGAAGGGCATTGTGGCTATGCAGAAGGCAAAGGAGGAAGAACGCCAACGCCAAATGGCTGAAGCGCGTCTGAAAGCTCAGGAGCAGAGGAAGAAGAAAGACGAAGAGCGCAGAAAACAACGCGAAATTGAGTTGGAACAAGAGAAGTTGAGATTGGCTGAACGTGCTCGCAAAGAAAAAGAAGCGCGAGAACGCGCCAAACGTCTTGAGGAAGAAAAAGCCCACGTAAAGAAACTGTTAT